AGAGAAAAAATGGTAAATAAAATTAAATATAATAAATAAATTAAAAAATGCTTTGAGAAAATTATCCAAAACTTTAGTAGAAAAATGCCTGGGAAAACTTCACCAGAGTCGTTTACCACAATGTTCCTGCTCACTGCTGTCATCAAACAAGGGCGCATCTGTGACAACTTTGATGGGCATTTAGGAGGCACCCACCTGAGTCCGGAGGTGGCTCCTTCTCACTTCCTTTTGTTTTCTAGTCTTAAATCAGAAATAGTTAGCTAAAAAGACTGCACTGACATGGGTCAATTTACAGGACCCGTCTTTCTAGGAGTGGACTAAATGGCTGGCACTGTCACTAAAGCATCTTGAACTTGATGAAGTTTATGTTGAGAAATGAAGGTTTTTTAAAAGGATCATTTAACTTTATTTATAATTTGATGAGAGAGGGACAGAGCAAGAGAAAGAGAAAGTGAGAAAGTAAGCCGCCAGGTTCGGGACTTGAACTGTGGTCAGCCATGTGGGAATCCAGCACCCTCAATCACCACATCACTTGCCGACCCCAAGAAATAAAGTTTATATTGTTTATTTACTTTTTTAAAATTGTCAGAGTGTGCATGTGCTTACTGGAGAGTGAGAGGGAGAAAGTGGGGGAGAGAAACCCCTCAGTGGGACGTGGTCACACTGCAATCTGGCTTCCCCTCTCTCTCTATCCCATTAGGGTTTTGGACTTACATGTCCAGGTGCACAGAGATTTTCAAGCTGCCAGGCTGGGATCTGAACCTCTGTTGGCCATGTGAGATCTGGCTTCCTACGCACAGGGCTGAACTGTTATGCTATGGGTTTTTAGTGTTTAATTTCAGTTTACTGTATTTTGAAGCTCAAGGGAAGTGTATACTGTGAATAAACTATGTGTAGCTTTCGAATTTTTTTTATGCCGAAATTAACTCTTTAATTTTGTTTCCCTATGAACTTAAAGGAGAAAGAGGAAACATTCCCCCCCACCCCACAGTGGGGCGTGGCCGCACTGCATTCCCTTCTTCATTTCTCCATCCTGTTGGGACCTTGGTCCTGCACACACATGCTGCCAGTGTGTTTTTCAAGCCTCCAGGGCCAGGATGTAGACCATGTGATCTGTGTAGTGGACATGTGGGGTTTGGCTCCCTTAACTACTAGACAACAGGGCTGGACCCTATGAACTTTTTAAAGTCCCTTATACTGAATTTTGTACATTTACGGGCCATGGTGAATAAAAACAGTGTGAGAGTCAGGCACAAGAGAAGGTGATGCAGTCAAGTGACAGAGCAAATGCTAGACATGTAAGTCTGCTGCAGGTGTCCCATGGAGGATGACCACACCATATTCCCCTCTCCTCCTTTCTCCTCTCAGGATTTTGGGCGCGCGCGTGCACACACACACACACACACAAACACACACACACCTGGTGTGTTTTTTCAAATCCTGGGTCCAGGACTTGAACCACACAATCAGCCATGTGGGATTCAGTGCCTTAACCACCATACCACCTGCTGGCTCTGTGACACATTGTTTTATGGTAGACTTCCTTTTTTATAAGTAGGAGTGTACCCTGAAATAATGATAAAAAGTGTCGTATAGTAAGAACATAAACTATTAACATAATTTATTGTCATTATTAAGTGTTATGTACTGTCTATACTTTTTTTTTAAGAGTTGTTTTATTTAACTTTATTTGTTTATTTTGATTTGTCAAAGACGGACAAAGAAAGAGAGGAAAGTGAGAAAGCAAGCTGCCAGGTCTGGGACTCGAAGCGCAGTTGGCCGTGTGGGAGTCCAGTGCCCTTAACCCGATGCCACCTGCCGGCCCCTGTACTATATATATACTTTTACTATATACTTTTTAAAAAATATTTTTCTTAATTAGTTTTCTGTAGAATGGGTATGCTTGCCAGAAAGAGACAGAGGCAGAGGGAGAGAGAAAGTGAGAAATCACTCCCTCCCTGCCCCCCGGGGGGAATGGCCATGCCACAATACCTTGTTTCTAGTCTTCTCTTGAGATTTTGAGCACACGTGTACACATACCCAGTGTATTTTTCAAGCCGTTGGGTCCAGGACTTCAACTGTGCAATTGGTAATGTGGGATCCTGCTGACTTAAACACCATGCCACTAGCTGGCCACCTGTCAGGATTTTGGGAATGCACATACATGCACACACCTGGGATAGGATTCAAGCAGTACGGTCAACCATGTGGTATCCAGCTCTTAACCACCAGGCCATTGGGCTGTCCCTTTAATTTTTAAAAAATTATTTCATTTAACTTTTTTCATTTTACTTATTTACCTTATTTTAATTTGACCGAGGGGAGTGGGGAGAGAGAGAAAGAGAGAGAGAGCGAGCGAGCGAGCAAGCTGCCAGGGAAATGAACCATGGTTGGCCGTGTGGGAGTCCAGTGCCCTTAACCACTATGCCACCTGCTGGCCCCTAATATATATATATTTTAAACCGGATCTCATTATGTTGAGAACCTCCAGCCTCAGCTTCCTAGATAACTGGGAATAGGGGTGTGTGTCATTGTCCCTGGCTTTGTTCTTTTTCTCAAGATTATTTTGTCTGTTCTGGGATCTTTACATTTCCCTGTGAACTTTAAGATTAGCTTATCTATGTCCACAAACAAGTCAGTTGAGATTTTATTAGAGATTATAGTGTATCTGTAGAGCAATTTGGGGACTATTGACATATTAACAGGGGCTAGCCAGTGACATGGTGGTTATGGTGGCTGGATCCTACATGGCTGACTGCTGTTCCAGTCCTGGCTGGACTGGTGGATTGAAAAGACACACTGGGCATGTGTGCATATGTGTGTGCATGCATATGTGCATGTGTGGATGTGTGCGTGCCCAGAATCCTGAAAGATATAATGAAGTGATTCCCCGTGGGGAGTGCTTGCTCATCTGCCTCCAGTGCCTCTGGTGAGCACCTGTACACTCAGGCAAAATTTTAAAATGATGGAATTTTATAAGTTTCAATTCTGGAGTGTTCGTTACTAGCACATGAAAGGTGCTTTCGTGTTTGTTCGCTCTTTATATATATATACACATATACGTATATTTATGTAATTTTGATTTGCCATAGGGCACCTGTGACCTGCATTCCCTGGAGAAAGACAGAGAGAATGGGAATGTGAAAATCACCCCTCCATTCTCCTCTTAGGACTTTGGGCATACATGCACACACGTCTGTCATGTTTTTCAAGTTGCTGGGTAGTTCCCTATGTGGCATCCAGCCACCTTAACCATCACGCAGCATTATAGCAATATAATTGTTTTTTGTATATTGACTTCATGTCCTGCAACTTTCATGAATTCAGTCATTAGTTATAATAGCTTTTTTAGTGGATTTCTTTGTTTTTTAAAAATTATTATTTTGGAGAGATTTTTGCTATTGGGTGCATGCAACTTGGCAGAGAGATAGAGGGACAGAAAGCGAGAAATTACTCCCCAGGAGGGAGTTGGCCACTCTGCAATCCCTTCTCCTCCATTCTCCTCTTGAGATTTTGGGCATGCATGTACATGTGCCTGGCATGAAGTTTGTTCTTTTAAAATTTTTTAAAGACTCATTTATTTATTTAATTTTATTTGTTATTTTTAAAATTTGACCAGAAGAGACTGAGAGAGAGAAAGGGAAAGTGTGAAGGCAAGCTGCCAGGTTCCAGGACTTGAACCACAGTTAACCATGTGGGAGTCCAGCACCTTAACTACCACGCCACCTGCTAGGCCCCAGCTGTAAATTTTAAGTCACTGGGTCTGGTACTTGAACCTGTGGTTAACAATGTGGGAATCCAGCACTGTAACCGTTATGCCATCTGCTGGTCCCAATTTCTTAGTTTTTAAAGAATACAGTATAAGGACCAGCAGGTGTTTTAGGTGTTGGACTCCCACATGGCTGACCACAGATTGAGTCCAGACTTGGTGGCTTGAAAATTATGCAAGGTGGGGTGCATGAATGTGTGTGCCCAAACTCCCGGGAGCAGAATGGAAGAGGAGGGATTGTAGCATGCCATCCCCACCACTCCCACCCCCCTGTGATTTTTCACTTTTCCCCTTGTCGCTAGCTATCACTCTGACCAGTGCACATGCTCTACAACCAAAATAACAACAACAACAAAAAACAACCAAAAAAACCCCCTTAATTAAAAAAGCATACAATATATTTGCAAATGGTGACAGGTTTAGAAATTCCTCTCCGAGTGTATTTTATTTCTTTTAGCCTAGTTGACCTGTCTAGAACCTCCAGTATAAAGGTTAGTGGTAAACGCAGATATTCTTGGGGCCAACAGTTGGTGCTGAGCATAAGGCAGTTGGATGTCACATGGCTGGCTGACTGACCTCATGTGGTTTGAGTCTGGTGCCTCAAAAAACACATCAGGCACATAGGCATGCAGGCGTGTGTGCCCAAAATCCCAAGAGGAGAATGGAGGAGAAGGGATTGCAGTGTGGCCACCCCCCTTGGGGGGTGGTTTCTCACTTTCCCTGTCTCTGTCTCTGTCTCTTTCTCTCTCTGTCTCTCTCCAGTGATCACACGTGCCCTATAGCAAACTTAGATTCATAAATAAAATAAGAGGGACCAGCAGTTAGCGTAATGACTATGTCGCTGGACTCCCACGTAGTCGACCGCGGTTCGAGTCCCGGACCCGGTGGCTTAAACTCACGCCGGGCGCGTGTGCGTGCGTGCCCAAGATCCCGAGAGGAGAATGGAGGAGAAGGGATTGCGGCGTGGCCATCCCCCCTGGGGGGTGATTTCCTGCTTTCTATCTCTCTGTCTCTCTCTGTCTGTCTGGCGAGCGCACGCGCCCTATAGCAAAAACCTCTCCAAAAAATAAAATAAAATAAAATAAAATAAAATAAAAATAAAATAAGAAAGGCATTCATATTTTCCTTCTGGTCTTAAGGTGAAAACATACAATCTTTTAACTTTAAGTATTAAATTGAATAGCGTCTAGAAACTTAGACTTTGAATAAACTATTTGTCCTGGTATTTCAGACAAAAGGATGCCACGGAGAAAGAAAAGGGTTAAAGAAGCCTCTGAATCTGAGAACCTGGAGAAGCAGGATGTGGCAGCCGCAGGTTCCATCAGCGTGAAGAGGAAGCGTAGACTTGAGGATGCCTTCATTGTGATATCTGACAGTGACGGAGAGGTCAGTATTGCGCAGGGAGGCCGCAGGTCTCAGACTGAGCTTCTCTGTAGTAATCGTCCCGCTGTTTAGTGTGCGTATTTCGGTAGGCACTTATGTCTGCTAGTAATTACCATTTTCTCTTCTAGTACTCGTATGTATTTTTTAAATCCTGTTAGCTATAACTTTGAGAATAACGTTGATTGACATCGGCGATAGAGCCTCTTAATAGTGTAATGTATTTAACAGCAAATACAGGGACAGCACAGAAGATAGGCCACGCTGGAAACGCGTCCTGCAGGTAGGACAGCTCAGCTAGAAAAGCATAGTGAGTAGCCAACAGGCAGCATCTTCTGTGGGAGGCACGCTCGGTGACACTGCTGGGGTGCAAGCCCAAGTGTACTTACTTCGTTGAACAGTGAGACAGATTCAAGTGGTCCAATGGCTTTAGAATATATGACTATTGGACATATGGAGTTAAAATAATGTGCAAGTTTACATCAAAGGGAAGAGTATCAACAGTTATTTTTGAATGGATTTTTTTGAGGTCTAGTGCAACTTCATTACTTTATTCGAGTCTTCAAGATAGTCTTTATTCTACATTTTTAGTGTAAAGAATTCACAAGTTAGTGCACCACAGTGTAGAGACATCCAACGCTGAATTTCTGTAACAGTGGTATAATCAGACATCACATGTACAGAACACAACATTTAGATCAACTGAAATTATAAGATAAAATAAAATCTAGTTTCAGAAAATTATAGCAGTATGTATGTGTATATATGTATATTAATATTATATTAATATATAATATAATATTAATTATATAGAATAATATTTAGTCATTTAATTTAATTTTAATTTTTTAAAGTGGAATCTTAGGCATGCATGTGCACATGCCCATTGTGAGTTTTTTCTTAAAGCATAATTTACTTTATTTTATTTATTCATTCATTTATTTTCATTTGACCAGAGAAAGACAGACACACGAGAGAAGAAAAAAGTGGGAAAGCAAGCCACCAGGTCCAGGACTCGAACCATGTTGGCCTTGTGGTAGTGTCCAGCACATTAATCACCATGCCAGCTGCTGGCCCCCTGTTCTGAGTTTTAAGCTGTGGGTCGACTACTTGGGAGTCTAGCAGCAACATAACCATTATGCCATCTGCTGGTCTCACAAAAGCAAAATATTAAGTATTCCCTGAAATATTTTCTTTTAGAGGTTTTTGCCTCAGGGTACATGTTCTCTCTGAAGAAAGAGACAAAGTCAGTGAGAGGGAAAATGAGAACTCACCCCTGGGAGGAATGGCCACATCACATTCCTTTTCCTCTAGTTTCCTCCTGGGATCTTGGACATGCACACACATGTGCCTGACATGATTTTGAAGCCACTGGGTTCAGGACTCACGCCGTGGTCGGCCACATGGGAGTCCAGTGACTTAACTGCTGTGCCATCTACTGACCTCCCTGAAATATTCTTAACTCTAATGAGATTTTATTGGATGCAAGTCATGTTGTCTAAGGAATTCACACCTAAGTTTTAGTCACCTAAGCTTAGGAATTTTTCCTGGGAGCCATGAGTAGATGCAGCAACTCGGACAGAAATGATAACCAGTTCCTGAAAACTCACCTTGATTGGGCTCTCGAATTGGCAGTCAGGCTTTTTTTTTTTTTTTTTTTTTGGGAGAGATTTTCACTGTAGGGCGCGTGCGCTCGCCAGACAGACAGAGAGAGACATAGAGACAGAAAGCGAGAAATCACCCCCCAGGGGGGATGGTCACGCCGCAATCCCTTCTCCTCCATTCTCCTCTCGGGATCTTGGGCACGCACGCACACGCGCCCGGCGTGAGTTTTAAGCCACCGGGTCCGGGACACGAACCACGGTCGACTACGTGGGAGTCCAGCGACATAGCCATTACGCTAACTGCTGGTTCCCGGCAGTCAGGCTTTTTGACTCCTCTTAGTTCCTCTTTTTTTAATTATTATTTTTTTAATAGACTATAGATTAGTTTGTTTTTAACACCCATCATGACATGAATTCATAGGGAATAATATCGAGTCGGTCCCATCTATCCGCTTGGTTCAACAGAGCGGGTGGAAGGAAGACAGGACGCAGGTGCCAGATTTGAAGCTGGGGCTACTGCCGGCAACATTCCTCCTCCGACAGCAGGGAGAAGGCCAATTAGTCCGACTGACGCTCTCTTCTGCACCATTGATTCAGTGGCGATTGGTGGGAGGGGAGAGAAGACTGCGGTTGGAGATGAGATGTGGGGTGAAAGATGGAAAGAAAAAGGCAGGCAACTAGTGTGCTTCATTTATAACAAGTCTTATAAGTCAAGGACTTAAGGAGATTAAAGATCAATCAGAATAATTCGACAACTTTAATTTTTAGGAAGATCAAAGTTCCCTCGAAACCTAATTTGGTGTTTTATTACTAAAAGCGAAGACCAGTATGGCACAATTTTACCCCAGAGGGATTAAAGGAAGATCCTTAGGGCAGTGTCACCCACATTCATTTTATGAATGGATACCTCCCCTACCTTGAAATGCTTTAGGGGAGAGACTGCTGCCATTACATGGCTCTTTACCAAAGCTGAAAATGCCCGAATGTTTGGACACCAGAAAGACACCCCACCAACATGGGTCTAAACTGCAACTTCAGGTTAATCTGACTAAAGCAGTTACATTGTGAGAAGTGCTAAGGTGTGCGACGTCTTTCCTGGCACAGAGGTGGTCTTGGTTTCTCACCAGATGGTGTAGCCACCATCTGAGCTACCCATGAAGTTCCACTTCTGCCGAGTTACGAGGACTGTAGCTGAGCAGTGGTGGGAGGGCATCCGGGAGGTGGAGGAGTAATGGTGCCGGCAGTAGCCCTAGCTTCAAATCTGGCACCTGTGTCCTGTCCTCCTTCCACCCCCAAACCAGGCGGATAGATGGGACCGACTGGATATTATGCCACAGGGATTGTGGCACTGAAAGGCCCAGCAGCCACAGACTGGGCATGCGAAGATATAGAGAGGCGCCAGGAAATGCAGCTGGCGTGGCAGGGACTGTAGCAGCCCCTGGGTGCGTGGGGCTTGGCCGAGGAGCTCAGAGTAGGCAGGTGGAGAGCATCAGTGCAGGGCGGAGCCTGAGGAAGATGCAAGGTCTAGGGGTACGCTGGATTCCAGGGGGCTGTACAGGGTAGACTGGCCGTGTGGGGTAGTGACTTTTGGAGAGGCGCCAGGAAATGCAGCTGGCGTGGCAGGGACTGTAGCAGCCCCTGGGTGCGTGGGGCTTGGCCGAGGAGCTCAGAGTAGGCAGGTGGAGAGCATCAGTGCAGGGCGGAGCCTGAGGAAGATGCAAGGTCTAGGGGTACGCTGGATTCCAGGGGGCTGTACAGGGTAGACTGGCCGTGTGGGGTAGTGACTTTTGCTGCTCATGGAACTGAGAGCCCAGTTTAGCTTGGTGTCACGGACAGTTCTCACTTCGAGTTTTGTTTTTTTTTTTAAGAATTATTTATTCCCTTCCCTTCCCTCCCCCTCTCCCTCCTCATCCCCATCCCCCTTCCTTTTCTTTCCTTTCTCTTTCACTGGAGAGACATAGAGAGAAAGAAAGGAAAAGTGAGAAAGCAAGCCACAAGATCCAGGACTCAGACTGTCGTGGGACATGAGAGAATCCAGCGCCTTAACCACCATGCCACCTGCTGGCGCCCTTTGACTTAATTCTTATACATAGTATAAGGTATATGGATCCAGGTTCTTGTTTTTTATATTATATCTAGCTCTTTAGCATCATATATTGGAAAGGTTGTCATACCTTCATTGCATTTCTTCTTTTAAAATATCAGTCTATGGAATTCTTTTTTTTTTTTTTTTGGAGAGATTTTCACTGTAGGGCGCGTGCGCTCGCCAGACAGACAGAGAGAGACATAGAGACAGAAAGCGAGAAATCACCCCCCCAGGGGAGATGGTCACGCCACAATCCCTTCTCCTCCATTCTCCTCTCGGGATCTTGGGCACGCACGCACACGCACCCGGCGTGAGTTTTAAGCCACCGGGTCCGGGACATGAACCGCGGTCGACTACGTGGGAGTCCAGCGACATAGCCATTATGCTAACTGCTGGTTCTCTTTTTTTTTTTCTTTTAAAGAATTATTCATTTAATTTTATTTATCATCATTTTTTTCTTGAAAGAATTATTTTGTTAACTTTATTTCAGTTTGACCGGTGAGGATTGGGAGGTGGAGAGAAAGTGAGAAAGCAAGCTGCCGGGTCCGGGACTCGAATTGCAGTTGGCCATGTGGGAGTTCAGTGCCCTTAACCACTATGCCATCTGCTAGCCCCATTATTACTATTTTTAAAATTTGCTCCAAGGCATGTACACTCACCAAAGAAAGAGAGAGAAAGAACGTGAGAAGCAGGCACCTGATCTGGGACTCTAACTGCAGTCTGCCACGTGAAAGTCCAGTGCCTTGACCATCGTGCCACCTACAGGCCCCCAGACTATGGAATTTTTAATTTACCCTCTTTTTCTCCTTTCACTACTGATTATTTAGAAGGCGATTTAAAATAAATGAATATACACTCAATTTAGACATCATTCAACCTTGAATCAAGCTTCTCTGATCTTGGGTTGTTGTTTACTGCTATTTTCAAGATAGGCTGGTTTTTATGTGTCTATATATGTGACAGGTAGTAATGTCAATATATTATACATTTTTATGTTTATGATTTTTATTGTTCTAGATCTGATATATTTTCTGTTTGTATTGAAAAGGGTCATATTCTTCTGATGCTTTATGTGCACATTTACAGTGATCACTGAGTCTTCAGTGGCCTCTAATTAGGAGATGGAGAAATACTACCTTTCACGGTAGCCACCCTGATCTTACCTCTTATTTTGCAGCAGGAACCAAAGGAGGAGAACGGATTGCAGAAAACGAAGATAAAACAGTCGAACAGAACAAAGTGTTTGGCTAAAAGAAAAATTGCACGTATGTTTCATTTTTGTGTTGAGAATAGTTGGGCAATTGTACCCGTTACAGACTTGACACTGCTTTCTTCATGAGGAAGAGAGTTCTCGGAATAAGGCCATGTGAGAGTTCAGTGCCCTTAACTGTCATACCACCTGCTGGCCCTCACTGTTAATTTGAACTGTAGTGATTTAAGATCAGTTCCTCAGACTTGCAAAATTTTTCATAAACAGATTTTGTTAAAATATTGCATTTGATCTACTTAATGTACTCAAGTTACTTTCAATTTTGAGAAATATAGCGTGACCATCCCCCTGGGGGGATGTCTGTCTGTCTTTCTGGTGAGAGCATGCGCCCTATAGCAAAAACCGCTC